TTGTAATCTTGTATAGACTTTGTAAGTTCATCAAATTTGTAATTCGTCCCACAATGATTGCACTCTTTTTTCCTTACCAAGTTTTTATCCCAATTGGGTTTTTCTTGGTAAGGTTTTTAATGAGGCAATCATGAATTACAAATTTAAAAATCAATGAAGAAGTAATTTTTTTTATATAGTTCGTTCGTGTCATGTGTTCATTTCATATTTCAAATTGTAATATACACAATTACACATTGTAATTATACAAATACTTATTTCAACAACATAAAAATATAATATAAAAAAAAAAAATTTCGGGCAGCCCGACCGGGCACGGGCAGGCTTCCTCTGCCCGAAGCCCGTTCATGGGAATTTTCGGGTCGGGTCAGGCAGCCTAAATTTTTAGACAGATCGGGTTCGATCATCGGATAAAAATTCAAACTTTTCAATGATCACGAGCGATCCGTCCAAAGTTTCAACACTGCTTTTAACTGTGTTAATTTTTACTTTTCTCAATTAATAAAGGATGGGAAAAAAAAAAAAAACTAACTTTTAGGCCCTCTAATGGAACCCACACTCTTTAATCTCAAGATGCAATGGTTTCCTGAGTCATAGGACAATGCATCTCCTTTCACAATCGAAACTACCGCATCTCCATTCTACCGCGTGTAGAACACGTTGACAGTTAAACGACATCGTAGCATTCACTAAAGCGAAGATCTCCAATCCACTTGGGACGCGTAATGACAAGAAAAGCTCATGATTGGCGCGTGAATCAATGACGCAATTCACATCACGTGGCGCGATCCACTCTGTATCAGATTAGAAGTGGGACCCAGAAAGTCAGAAGCTCGTGAGGGAATGAAAGAGATGATGCGTCGGCAGTCGAACACGTGTCCCGACACGGCCATCAAACGGGATCTTTCGTACGGTAGGTCATTTTCCATCAAAACGACGCCGTTTAGTGAGTTTAAACGGTGCAACCGACACTCGGAAAGGGTGATACTGTACGACGAAGAGGCACAGTTGTCACAGTTCGTTATCGCGAAAAAATAACTTCCTTTTTTTGGGCGGAGAAAATATATTTGGTAAATCTCATTTGCCTCGTATTTCCACCGTTTGCTATTTCCATTACTGCAACTTTTTTTTTTTTCATTTTTCATTTTACTGATTATCTTCTTTTTTCTTTATTTAGGAATATCTCTTTTAATTTTTTTTCTTTTTGTTAACTGAATATTATTTTTTCTCTTTCATCATATGTATCATTTCTTCATATATATATATTTTTTAATTTTTCCTAAAAAATGTATCATTTCTTTTCTTTTCTTTTTTGGCAATTCTTTAATTTTCTCCGTTTTTTTTTTCAAAATGGGACATGCTATTATTGTTTGATATTATTTGAGGAACCTTCAAATGACATAAGTGATGTGCATTTTGGTTGACTTTTTTTGGGTTTATATTTTATTTTTTCTTTTACAATGTAGTTTACATGTACGAGCTAATAACTCTTACAAGAGAAAATTACATGGTTAAAAATAATTTTGTGCAAATTTATTATTTATATTATTTTAAATAATTATTAGGTGTCATCGTGATTTTTTATTTTATTTTTTATTAATTGAATAATACTTATTTATTTTTAAGTAGAGTAACATAAATAATATTTTTTACTATCTTGAGTGACATTTTTTTATTTTATCTCTATTGTGCCTAAGCATTTTCTTGCAAATGATGTTTTTTTTACTATGTTGGTTTATAATTAGATGGTGGAGTCAATTTTTTGCGGTTGACTTTTACAGACTTTTTTTAGTCAAAACTCATAATGTCATTTCGAATTATGTAAAACAAAATTCGTTAATTTTATTTGGAGAGTTGCCAGCTTGATTTACAAAATAGCATTCATGGAAAAAAAAAAAAAAAAACTGTGTCTTGTTTACAATAAAAAACCCAAAAAAGCAACATGAAATCACCTGAAGTCTGATGCCATTTTAAAAATTATAAACTAAAATCTTCAATTACAATTTATTAAATTACTTGAGCATATTTTTTATCATTATATTGTATCATGCAATTTCGGCTTGGATAGAAATACATCCAATTTCGATTGAGGCCAAATAATATTCCAACTTGGATAATGGCAGAACATTTACCAATAAAAGAGAAGTAAAAAAGAAAAAGAAAAAGCATAGGATGTAGAAAGAAAGGAGAGGAATACAAATAGCACACAAAAATAGATTGAAATTCCAAAATAACATCCGACACGCCCAGAATAGGAGAGGACTTTCGGCTTTTAAAACCTTTTTTGGGCATTTTATCGTCTTATTATTTACCATCATTCATCAACGGCAAAATAATAGGAGAAAATATCTCGCGAAATATTGTCGGCGTATCGTCGGCGCTTTTAATTTCTCGGGTCGAATAAAACGGGGACTACCGAGCTTACCAACCACCTACTCATACGGGATTCCAGAAGTGGGGAGAGACCGATCGCCGTACTTCCACGTGTTGACCATCGAGTGGATTAATCTTAACGCATTTAGGAAAACCTTAATTCCCGTGGGGCCCTGCCGTATTCTAACATTAGCTGGCCTGCATTTATTGGCTAAAAGGCCCATATTACCAACTCTGGTCGTCTCCACACCCTAACCGAACCTCCCCATCCCCACCGATCTTGCGGTGCACGTCACCCACACCCCACTCTATCTCTCTCTCTCCTCTCTCTCTCTCTCCCTCTCTCTCTCTAAACAATAACAGTCGCTCTTCTTCTCTCTCGCTCTCTATCTCTCTCTTTCTCTCTCTTGGTTTTTTTTGGCAAGACGCGGTTTTCTTTCTTCTTCATTTTTCTTTCTTCTTCATTTTTCTTTCTTTCCATATATATATATATATATATATTGCTCGGAGATTGTTCTCGGCGACATTCTCCTGCGAAGGTGCTTTCTCGCCGGAATCACGCGGTTGCGGAAGGAATGGTGGCGGGGATTTCCGCGTGGTGATCGGCGAAGCGAAGATCGGAGGTCTCGTGCAATGTGCGAAAGAAATGAGGTTTTTGGTGGTGTTTAGGGACGAATTTTTCGGACTCCGAGCGATTAATTTAAGGAAATCTCTGTAATTTGTGAGTTATCGGTAGGAATTTTGGATCTTCGGTTTGTTACGCGCTTCTGGTGGTTTCGGATCTTGGAGAGGAAAGTATTCTTCTATCCGAATCTGATTATCGATTCGGAGAAGAAAATTTTTGTTTTTGGTTGATTTTTGATCCGGCATTGAAGAAAGGGGCGAGCTTATGGAGGATTAAAGCGGTGGAATCGAGAGGAAGGAGAGAATTATATTATGTGCAGAATAGAGAAGGAGGAGAAGAAGAAGAGAGAGAGGACAATGGGAATAAAGTCGTTGGGAGCGGAGAAGCTGAAGAGTACGATGGCGACGGCGTCGGCGTCGAGGTCGAAGATGAAGCTGTGGATGATACGGGCGACGACGTCGGTTTTACTGTGGACGTGCGTCGTACAATTGACGGCGTTGGGAGATATGTGGGGCCCTAGGGTTCTCAAAGGCTGGCCTTCCTGTTTCACTCAGGAGTCCGCCTCCGCCGCCGCCGCTCTCCAAGACAAGTCGCCCTTCGTCGAGGCCAGAGTTCTTCCGCCCAAAAGTGAGTGAGCTTTTTCTTTCTTTTTTTTTTTTTTTTTTTTTTTTTTTTCGTGATCTTACTGGTCCTTGATTCTAAACTGGTGAAGTAAATTCGATTTTTTTTTTTTTTTGCTTTCTTTTCAAATTGAAACTTCTCTCGTTTTAAATTGCGATCAGGATAATTGGGTTGTTCTCTTTTTCTAAACAACTGCTCTTTAATTGTTGATCCTGGATTTTGGAAAACATCATTCATATAAATGGGTTCATTTTTTTTTTTTTTGGAGGGTCGCTTGGTTTGCGGAATAAATTTATTGAGATGTGAAAAGAAGTATATCCGAATCAAAAACCGACATGTTTTCGAGAAATTGACCATTTTCATTCCGAGATTTTTTTTTTCACTTTTATTATTCTGTGATTTTTTTTTTTTTTTTTCAATAGTTAGTTTGTTAGGTGTTAGTTGCTCATTGTTTATGTGTGTTTGCATTCAAGTAATTTGTATGTTTAAACAATTAATTTAAGAACTAGTTATAGGTCAACGGCAATGAAGTTCTATCTGATTCGGTGTATCATAAATTGGGACATGCCAAGTTTTATCTACTTGGTACTTTTCAATTTTCATATGAAAAATGTTTTTGATATATTTTCTGTTGGTATCAGAATCGCTAGATAATTTATACGTTTTGTTGAATAAGAAAACACGCCACAAACTTTTTCCCTCTTTGGTATGTGTAAAGATCATGAAGCAGCCATTCTGGCACAACTCAGCGTTAGTAGTTCTTAGATTCAATGAGACTGTCCTCTCTGTTCTTTTTTTTTTTTTTTTTTTTTTTCCAAAAAAGAAAAAATTCTTGTTTATTTTTCTAACATTGAGTTCGGAACTTTTCTGTTTGTGATTAGGGGTTTATAAGAACAACGGTTACCTGATGGTTTCCTGCAATGGGGGGCTAAATCAAATGAGAGCAGCGGTGAGTGGTTAGCAAAATTCAGTTTGCAACAATGATGACATAAACACCATGACGTTTGGTTTAGTATAGGCATCTTGTGACCGGTTCAATTTTTTTCTTTTGGTTTTGTGCAACACAGATATGTGACATGGTTGCCATCGCAAGACATTTAAATGTCACTCTTATAGTGCCTGAATTGGATAAAACATCCTTTTGGGCTGATCCTAGGTACGCTAAATTACCTCCCCTTGAATATTTAAAGCTTTGAATTTATTTATGTTCTACAATAAGGGACAAATTTTGTTCCCTTGAGTGCCCATCCAGGTTCTGTTACGTATGATCCAATGAATATTCATTGCTTTACTTGGCAGTGAGTTTCAAGACATATTTGATGTGGACCATTTCATTACATCTTTAAGAGATGAGGTTCGCATATTGAAGGAATTGCCTCCTAGGCTGAAAAGAAGAGTGGAACTAGGAGGTGTTTATACCATGCCACCAATTAGTTGGTCTGATATATCTTATTATCAGAGACAGGTTAGTGCTTTACCATTTTTTTCTGGTCTCTGTTATTAGAGGAGATGAATGCTTCACATTATTAACATGCATAAAGCTTCACATATTGGTTTGATTTTTTAAGCTAATATAGTCAATATAGGTTTCTTTACGTTTGCTTGCTTTACACCACTATTTATGCGAATTCAATGTGTATTAACCTCTTTACTGAAGTCAGAAGGTCTCAGGAAGTCTATTGCTGTGTTGTGTCTTACAGATTCTTCCTCTCATACAAAAGTACAAAGTGGTACATCTTAATAGAACTGATGCTCGCCTTGCCAATAATGGCCAACCTTTGGAGATTCAAAAGCTACGGTGCCGAGTAAATTTCAGTGCTCTGAGATTTACTTCTCAAATAGAAGAGTTGGCTAGACGAGTTATCAAGCTTCTTAGGCAAAATGGTCCTTTCCTAGTCCTTCATCTCAGATATGAAATGGACATGTTAGCATTTTCTGGTTGTACTCAAGGTTGCAACATGGATGAAGTGGAAGAGTTAACGAGAATGAGGTGTGCTTCACTTGTTTCTTTAAAGATCAATTAATATGCATCTAGCATCTGTTTTGGCCGTCTTTCTAACATTTTCCTTTTTGTCAGATATGCTTATCCCTGGTGGAAAGAAAAAATTATAAATTCTGATTTGAAGAGGAAAGATGGTTTATGTCCTTTAACGCCTGAAGAAACTGCTCTTACTCTGAGGGCACTGGGCATTGATCGTAATATCCAGATTTATATTGCGGCTGGTGAGATATATGGAGGAGAAAGGAGAATGTCAAGTTTAGCACTGTCTTATCCAAAATTGGTAAGTTGATGAAAATCATAGCCACTACCTTGAACTTTGTTACCTTTTATTTTTTTTCTTTCCTCTCTTATACGCCGCTTTGGATTTTCTTAACAGGTAAGAAAGGAAACTCTGTTAGATCCATCCGACCTTAGATTTTTCCAGAATCACTCATCCCAGATGGCAGCATTGGATTATCTCGTCTCATTGGAGAGTGACATCTTTGTTCCCACATATGATGGAAACATGGCTAAAGTAGTTGAAGGCCATCGCAGGTACTTTTTATAAAATCCAACTATCATTTGTTCATATTATGCATTGAAAACTTAGTTTGTAACCTACCAATTTAATATTAGAATCTTTTGGGAATTCAAAGTACCCTTGCCAGTTTTCACATCCATTTTCGTTTTTTCCCCTTTGGTCTTATTAAGGAGATGATTAAATGTAGTCTCACGTTTCCCTTTTCTTGACCGATTTTTTCTTGTCCCCAGTTTTGGACCTTGAATGTATATTCTTTCTAGTTGCAATTTTGATATTTGGTAATTAACAAGAATCACATTTTACATGAATTTTGTGATCCCGGCTTTCTAGGATTTTCTTCATGACATGTTTGAACTAAGTTGTCTGACCTTTGATATTTTCAAAACTTGTTCTTGAAACTAAGTATTTGTTGCGTGTGATCACTTCCTCAGATTTCTTGGTTTCAAGAAGACAATATTGTTGGACAGAAAGCTTATCGTTGATTTGATAGACCAGTACAGCAGTGGATCACTTAATTGGGATGAGTTTTCATCCGCTGTGAAGGAGACTCATGCAGATCGCATGGGCAACCCAACTAAAAGGTTGGTGATCCCAGACAGACCTAAAGAAGAGGACTACTTCTATGCCAACCCAGAGGAGTGTTTAGAACTTCCGGACGAGCGGTTATTTTCTGATGAACTATTGAGCAGCACGTGATATCCTATGCTAGTTAGTTTGTGACATTCATCAGTGTTCTCCCACAGTGGTAGCTTTTATTAACACACAGATCTTTAAGAAAGTTCTCTACAAAGAGGTATAAGTGATAATGAGATTTTGTTTCGGAGGCCACCATGAAGATCATTGGGAAATGTAAAACTTGCCTGAGAAGATCTATGGATAAGATAAGCTCTGGAGAACATCAATTATCTCTTTTTATATATGCCAAATAATCCATCTCAAGTTCATGTATAGAAGCCACCCTGCCATTTATGGGGTGAGAGTGAATCCAGGAACCGCAATGTAGAACCGAGGGGGATGTCAACGTAAAAGAGGGTGTTCTGGGTTTGCTTGGAACTCAAGGAATCATGAAAAGCTCATATCCCTCGACCTTTCTATTTTGTATTTTCTCATGTTGTTTCTTTTTTGGATCAATCAAAGCCCACGGTCTCGTGATTTTGTGGCACATATACTACATTCTCTTTAAGATTTTTCCTCCTTGTTTGCACAGATCGTTACCTCTTTCCTGTTTGTAGCTTGGGGATAATGTAACAGGAAGTGAAGTGTGCGATATTATGTATTTACTTTTTTTTTAATTACTTGAAATTAATTTAATACTTCAAGAGTGTTTAATTTATTTACTTCTTCCACTTTCGGGGTGTTGGGGTCCTCAGGCTTATAGGTCTTCTTCAAGACTGTTTTTTCATTTCCTTTAAAACTAAATTAATCATTTCCTTTAAAACTTTGTGATAGAACTATAATACATCCTATTTTGTATCCATTGGATGATGAAAACAAAAATTATATGAGCTGTTGAAAAGGAGGAGAAAAATAAGCCATTGGTCGTTACTTGATAAAGCTTAAAAATTTTCATAGATGAGGTCGTTTTCTAAGCCTATTCAATGGCAAAGAATTAGGTTGCATATATGCATCTAAAAGGTGGGATGCATTATAGCCTTACTCAAAACTTTGATATAGTGCTAGAACTTTGGACGGGCCACCCACAACTGCTTGAAAAACTGAACTTGTGCCCAGTACTTGAACCCGCCCGCGTGAGAAATTCAGCCCACCCGCCCGAGCTCGAGATTTGCCTTGAACGGGCTGCGGGCCTTGTCTTGGCTGCCCGAGCCCGATCGGACAGCCCGAAAATTAAATATATTTATATAATTTTTAGTTTTGTATAATATTGTGTATATATATTAGATATAATATTGTTTATTAATTGTATTTGTACATAAATAATTATTAAGTTATTTACTGTAAAAATTATATAATTTTGTTTATTAATTTTTAAATTTGTACTAAATCAAACACTTTACTCGAACGAGCCACTCAGGCATTTCGGGCGGGAAATACAACAGGCTTCGGGCAATAGACTTGCAACGGCGGCAGGCTTCTTTTTTTGGTTGATTTTTGGGCTGCTTGAGCCCAAGCCTGGCTTGGAACTTAGACGGGCGGACATAGGGTTCTGCCCGCCGAGTCTAAAAATTTTCAGGCTTCAGACAAGCCCGCCGCCTGTAGTTCCAACACTACTTTGATATACACAAACAGAGAAACCAACAGTTTTCTCAACTAGTATTTTGTTCTTTCTTAATTTTTTATTTTTATTTTTTTAATATTTGTACTTTGTGTGTAGTATTCTCGATGGTCTCTTTCAGTGCCAAAAATTGACCTGGTTAAGATAATAAAACATGGGTTGTAAATTAATATGTGATCTCAAGTCCAGGGAGTGATTTCATTCGCATGTCAGCATGTGGTCCTTTTTACTAATTTAAGCTTATTAGCGCGTGGTAGCATTTTGTGTACATTATTTTAGTGCTTTGAGCTTTCACTTGGTAATTTTATATGGTCCCGATTCATTTTTGTGTATTTTGATACTTGGAGAGAACGACATAAAGAATGACAAGCTATGGAGCTATAGGCTATAATCCTATAATATCAATCAACTATTATATTTGGCACAACTCGACATAGATAAATAATCCAAATATCAGGACAGGACCTCTAGTTTTTTTCTGTCTTTGTTTTTGTTCTTGCTGGAGTTTATTTCCAAGTAGGCAGAATATGCCAATTGGCTGATTAGATTAATGGGATGATTCAATAAGAAAATAACTATGTAAAAAGCTCACTGAAACATGTTTATTTTTATTTATTTATTTTTGCTAAGGACCAAATATTTATTTGAAGGCAGTTACATGAAATATTCGAGGGTAGGAACACAAATATAAGCAACCCAAGGGCTTAAATAAAAAATAATAAAAGAAAACCAGTCACAGTTTTAAAGACATTGCAACAGAAGGATCATATAGAGTATAGACTGAAAATGATACATCTCTTAAAATGGAAAGGCTTGCTTAAAAAAAAAAAAAAAAAATTAAGTTGTCCATCATTGCTTGAATTTGAAGTCACTCCAAAATTTTAATCATTGTTAACCTGGACAGCTAAGAAACTACAGACAATAACTTTAATCGCCCATTTTCTAATGAAATTCTTTTATTAGTCAACATAAACAAATTTACAGTAATCTTTCATGATTAATTCCAAGTTCTTTACCAGGGTCTAGGAAAAGTAAAATTATTTCACTCACAACTGCAATGATATTTATATTCAATATTCTTGCATCCGATCCAATGTATTGGATTGTGAGCCTTGAACACTTGATCGAATGTGTTTATATATTTAGGTCTCGATCATTTTACTGATTCAAATTTTATTACAGTAAAAAGTTTTTAGAAACAGTCACATTTAATTTTTTTACTACAATAAAAAGCTCTCATATAAAGTCACATCTCAACTCGAATTAAAAACTTGAATCAACGAATTAAACGGATTCTTAGATGTTTTATGTTTGTTTTGAATTCTAATAGCACCATATGCCTTTTATTAACGAGCGAAATCAACTACAAAATAGCGACTTTACTGTTCTTGTTTGATGTTCATACATACAAGGATATAAGTGGGAAAACACTAGACCCTTTTTCTTTTAAAATAATAATAATAATAATAATGTTTTTTTTAATGTTTTCCTTATTACGAAAGAGAAGTTGGGAATTGTCATGCTATCTATGGAAGTAAATCTCCAAGACCCCAAGGTTTTCCATGCTACTTTTTTTTTTTTCAAAAAAAAAAAAAAAAAAAGTTAGGAAACTGTGTGGTCGGATGTCACAAAGGTGTGTCTAGTCGTGCTTGATGCCCAAATTTCAATTGAGGTGCCAAATTTTAAGCTCATTCCAAAAATAGAAGCTAAAAGGAAAAAAAAAAATAGAGAATTTTTTATCAATTGGTTTGTGTAATTTGATCTTAGTCACCAAAACATTGATAAATCGTGGAAACAACCGTACCTTCAATTATTTTAGACGTGCAAAGTGTTCTTGAAAGACTAATTATCCATAATTTTATTGTGACATTTTAGGTGATCTATTCTTTCCATGTAAAGTTGGCAGGTTATGAGCGTCTTATCGCGTTAAAATTTGATATGAGCACGGCATATAATTGAGTGGAATAGTCGTTTCTTCACCCCACTTTTTGTCTTTCTTTCAATTTCATTGATAGCATAAGAGCCTTATTCTACTAGGGCACTAGCGCTTTACTAATATAATCTAAAGAAAAAGGTCAGAAAAATGTAATAGGCGGCTACTCTAAGCTCAATTCACTTTTTCAAGCTCCTTTCCTTATTGAACACTAAAGCGCTAACGCGCCTTATATGGCTTGCTTAACTAGATACACAGAATTGGGATCTGGCATGAAGGAGCATCCAGACAAGTGATTAATTAGGAAAATTAGTTATTATCTACAAAATCCAAGAATTGTTGAGTTGCATAACAAGTAGTGAAGTACTCAAGAGAAAATACATGGTTATAAAGGAGAGAATTCTCACATATTACGCCACAATCAATCTCCTACAATCAATCTATAATCTCCTACAATCGATCAATATGACTTGTTCACACCTCTGTGACTCATAAATTGATAGTTGTAGTGTCTCTAATAAACAAATACAGAATCTGTAAAATTGGAAAGAATCATAGAAAAGGTAATTACAAGGATTATTATCAATTAATCACACAAATCATAACATTTAGGTCAAGATTTGCAGGGCCTTTCTTGAAATAATGGCGAGCTCAGGGCCAGTTTTGTTCGCTGATTCGAATTTTTAATTTGAGTTGAGATGTGATTTTATGTGAGAACTTCTTGCTGTAGTAAAAAAATTAAATGTGATTATTTTTTAGAGCTTTTTACTGTAACAAAATTTAAATTTTAAACTTAAATCGGTGAAATAAACGGGCCTAAAAGATCCGTTAATTTATTGTGAAAAATTTTGTGAATAACCAAATACCGAGGGAAGTATTGGTTTTCCGGATGTAAAGGCTTCTAATCCATAGACGCAAATTTTGTCAAACTTTCCCAAATTTCGACGAAAGTTTAGATTTTATGAGGTGTTGATTTTTTTTTTTTTCACTACAAAATTAAGTTCGGTAAAATATTGGTGCAATATTAGAAAGGGAGAAAGTGGAAAATAGACCAAGACGTGAAATGAATTAAAATTAATAGGTCAATAGTTTACATAAGTTAATAAATAGGTTAAATTACTGTTTTCGTCTATAATTTGTCTGGTTATGAACCATAACTTGACAAATTATTGTTCATAATTGTCTATAATTTGTCTGGCTATGAACCATAACTTGACAAGTTTGTCCATAACTTATCTAGTTATGAACTATAACTTGACAAATTATGGCCTATTAATTTTTATAACTAAATATTGGCCTATATACTTTCTTAAACTTTTCATATTGGTTTATTTTCTACTATTTTCCTATTAGAAATATCTACATAAGTATCAATATCGTAAATATATAGTGTAATTTGGGCAAAATATGAGAAAATTTCGGAAAAATTTCAGCCATTTGAATATTGTTTTTTTTTTTTTTTTTTTTTCTTAATTTACGTTATTATATCCTAGCCTACATGATTGAGTCTTTGTTCTCACTTTTATTATTTAAGTAATAATGATTTTTAAAACTATGATGGATACAGAATTTTGAATGATCCTCATATGAGCATACCACCACTATCTTAAGTAAACGATTAGGAGAATTTGTAGTTTCTCATTCATGAAAATACAATGAGAAGAGATCAATAAACCTATGTATGGCATGTTAATTACTATATTCAATATTATTAAAATAGCATGTCGTGACACTAAATAATATTTGAATCAAAGAAGAAATTCCAATCATGTTTGAATCTCATAGAATGTTTTTCTTATATATGTATGAAGTTTTTATTTATTTACGTATCTATGTTTATTCTATCATATGCTCTGATATAAATTTCTATAATTTTCATTATTTATTTATTTATTTATTTATTTTTGCTTCCACGGATACCGATAATTACCTCCTTGTTATAACCAATTCCTTGTAGCGAAACAGAGGTGTAGGCTTATCCAACGCCAGAACCTTTGGTGGGGCGTGTGTTAAAGGCCAAGTATTTTCCACATTGCCATATTTCTTTGAAGCATGCATGTATTTTTATGTCTCGTTCTAAATTTCTATAACTAGCATGTGGCCCAACATTCTAAACAAGTCTTAGACTTTGCTCTGTAGAGAACTTTTTATGGCCTTTGGATAGGGGCCAATATATAGTAGTTCTTTGGGTAAGATTGCGTATGAGGACAAAATGGTTTGCTATAGGAGTGTTCATCGAATCCGTCAAGTACAATTCAATCCAATTCTACTTGATTAGGTTGAGTTGAAAGAAATTTAAATCGGTAACAAATTAAGATTTTCCCAATTTGAAATTAAAGATTAGATTGCGAATTGAGCATTTCTCTGTCTGTAATAAATTAAGATTTTCCCAATCTAAAATTAAAGATAAGATTACGAATCGAGCATTTCTCAATCTGTATAATTCACGAATCCAAACTATATATGTTTTCTTTTATATATATAATATATATATATATTTCTATATCGTACATATATAAAAGAGTCGTTCTTGGCTCTACTGGATATAAGCATTCCATGTCCCTAAAAGCATCATTCGTGTTCTGGTTTGGGTGCAAATCGTCATTGGTGGTCAAGGCTTTGGCGAACACAAGATTTGTAGCAGTTCACGTTGAATTAGAGAGTTCAATCTACTTTAAACCATGATAAAATTTCACTATTTAGAAACACATTGTTCATAATTGTACTCACTATAATCAACACCACAACTATTTTCACAATATTCACTATAGAATTAATCTTTAATTTCTTATATTTGAGCGTTTTAATCTCATGAAATGTCCCAAGATATTGTTTTGAACTGATCTGTCCTTTGAAAAACTTTTTTATTTTTGTAACTCAATGTCAGGGTTTTCCAAAATATTATGGCTGTATAAACAACTTTACCCCTTAGTATTTTTTATTTTATTTTATCAAATCTGATATTACTCTATTGAAAACAACTGGTTCTACTTGTTGTTAAAAAGGACAAGTCTTATCGTAGAAGTTCCCTGATAAAACAAGGCTTTAAAAAAAATATTTCGTTTTCCTCACGGCAAGGCTACGACTCTGTTAGATAAAGTTATACACACGTAGATCCCAGATAAACAGTACAATAGTGAAATCACTAATCATTTTAGGTGGCATCATCCTTTCAAAGAAAAGAGAACAAGGAAAAGCTAAATCAAAGAAAACATACCAAGGAAAGTGATATTAGAACAAAATAATGAGAACTTTACATGAATGGAAGCTTAACTGAAAAAGCAGCTTCTCATCATTTGTATGGAAACAACTATAAAGAAAAGAGAACAAAATGAGACATATTTTGTTGGGAAAGCTATATACCCCAACAGAATAACAGAAAGATAATGCATGTACAACAAATCTGGGTCTTAACTGGTAGTTTATGAACCAGTAGACATATGAATAAAACCCCCTCGAGAAGAGATGGGGTCGCGGGAAAAAAAAAAAATGAATTGAATATAGTTTATAAGGAAAGAATTACAGTAGAAATATGTCATCTTAGTTTTTGCCTGTCTTGAGCTTCTTCTGGGCTAGGTCAGAATCATCACCAGTTGCAAGTCTAGATTGCTTTATTTCTTGATTGCTTGATGGAAACTCATTATCCTAGAGCAGAATATAAGAAATATCAGGCGACTCTGCAATGCTTCCTTCTCATACAAACTGTTTTGTTTGAACAAGTAAATATTTCAATGGAATCTCAACTAAACTAATAATGAATTCTCAGTTGTACAAAGTGTAATTGTCAAGAAAGGACAGATAAGAAGCGTCGAGAGTAACATCGACAAATATACCTTTGTGATGGATGTTGTTGCAGCTGTTCTACTATTTGCTCGCTTTCCGAGCTCAATTTGCACTGAGATGCTGGCTTGTGACAAATCCACACCAGAACTCTGCAAGGCTTGTGTCAACGAATTTAACAACCTGTTCAGCACCAAAATGCTGTCAAGTCAGTAACTCGTAATCATACATTCAGTTTCAAAATAGGGTTCAACACTAAAAAACACAAGGATATAGCCACAAGACAATTAATTTCTAAACAGATCTCTGGGGAGTAACAGGGCAATCAGGTCTAAATTCTAATATCCTATATCACATAACTGAAACAGTGATGATTTTCTTGATCACGAGAAAGTTAAGATTTAATGCTTTAGGGGCATGTTTTTAACCAAAAGGTATTGCTGATCAAAATATTAGATCAAATATGAGCGTGTAATGAGATCAGATCTAGTACTTGTGAGATCAATACTATGAATAGCACAAACTTCTGCAACCAAGAGAAGTTGTAAAAAACACACGAGCAAATAAATGTGTAAGCTATAGAAACTCACCCCTGAGAATATGCACTGGAGATGCTAATGGTGCCGCCTTCAATGGTCAGCTCTTCTTCCTTTAGCTTATCAGTAGCAACAGCACCATCAACAGTAGTGCATGATCTTGTCTGGCATAATTGGGATTGAGGCTGAGGTGACGTGTTTTCTACAGCCGACGGATGACTGGATGGAGCCTGAGGTACCTCACCGCCATTCCTGAGAGGTGAGAAGAAATTCGGCTGCAGTGACATGGGAAAGGATAATCCCTTATTTGTTATCGTGGCGGTACTAGTGTCGGATTCTACTGGGTTTTGTGCACTCCCAGGAACTGTTGGAGATACAGAGATATGTTTCTCCTCAAACTTTCCTGTAAAAACTAATGCAGGACCAGGCCCGCCATTCATGCCTTGAGAGTGATCAAAACTTTCCCCAATCCTGTGATTGTTTCTCTGTTTGATATGAAAAAGAGACTGTCAACTATTTGGTTGTAACCTTTACTTCATACACCAATATGCTTTGTCATGCAGCCTTTGCCGTGAATTTAAGTCTTACAAGGCTCGTTGTAAAAGACACCGAATTCAATAACTCTCACTGGGGAAACGTTATAGATTGCGGTGAGAATGTAGATTGTCAAGAAAAGTAAAGTATTTTTACCCAAGGCAACAATTTCGCGGGTTCGTTGTTCCATCCTTGATACGAACCCTCATATTTTTGTACTTTTTCCTGTAGAAACTGAATGTATTCGATAACCTGATGCAGAAAGGCCCATTACTAAGCAATGAATTATAAGTTGAAGGAAAGAATGAATCATATTAGACATGCGTGTACCTCTAACAAGAATGAGGCCTTATCTCTCTTTTGGTCAGTGTGAGGAATGAGTTCTCTCAACATCTGAAACCTGCATAAGAACTTTTAAACTTAGTAGATGTTTAACTCATAGATTTAGAACCATGATTCAGAATCATTCTCGTTTTACGTGTGTTTTTTGTGAGAAAAAATACTGTAGTGAACCACGAACTATGATTCGAACCATGACACGAATCTTCCTTCCAAACGCATTCTTAATATCTCATATTGGTGGAAATTGGAAACAATATATAGTTAACAGTGAGTTAATGGCTTCCGATAAAAAATAAATAAATAAATAAATAAGCCATAAACAGTTTCATGATTTACCGGTTTTTTGTTGGACAGATAAAAATATACTAATGCTTACTTAATTATGTGGAAAGATACTGACAGATGATGGAAATAAGGTTTATCATTATTCGAAGTGAGACTTACCTATCATTTATTTTGCTTCTTCGACGTTGCTCTGTTGCGGAATGTTTCGACCGTGGCGTGTTGGCCTTCTGATCGGAGCTCTTTCCGTCAACTTTTACCCTCAGTTCTGATAGAAGAAAAGGAAAGAAAAATAAATAAATACTCGGAAAATTGCACTTTCTTGTTTGGAGAAGCTGAATTCTAGAGAATAAACGATTAAGCTGAAACAAAGCTACAAGATTTTACTAGCTGCTGATAAAAATAGAAAAACGTGCAATTCAAGCAACAAGAATAGACTGTAAGCTAGGATTCTTTCAAGCACAATCAAAGATGAAGGATGAAAATTGTCGTGTAAATATCGATGCTCTATATTTTAAAGCATTTTAGAAAAAGTATCGATATCAATAAAAATACAAAGAAAAATATGAAAACTATGATTTGTTTAAAACCTATATATATATATATATATATATATTAATAGGATGGTGGGATAAGTTTTACATAAAACTTGTATACATATTGAATCAAAATCTCAACACACAAGAAAACTCCGTATGGCTCGAACATGGTTGGGATTACATCGTCATTCAAGCGGTATTGGTATCATAACATGCTAATCTACAAAATATACAAACATACTAAGTTATAAGAATCTATTATTTCGCTTATAGAGCATGAATAAAGGGAACAAATTGAAAAAAATAATAATAAAAATAAAATAAAAAACACACAAACTGATCGTCAATTTTTACAATTTTTCAAAAAACTTTCAATATCTTTATGATATTTCCCTAATACTTCTCAAAAATTCCATAAAAAATCAAATACACAAGACTCCGAAATTTTTTCAAAAAACTTTCAATATCTTTATGATCTTTATCGCAAAAATTCCGAAATTTTGTCAGCGTCTCTTTTTTTTTTTTTTTTTTTTTTTTTTTTTTTTTTTTTTTTTTTTTTCCTTTGTTCATTTTTTTTCCTACTTTCAAAGAATTTTTCAAGACCTTAGCAATTTCCAAAAGTCGGTGAAAATTTATATTTGTGCACGAGTCACAAAAACATTAAACACGTGCAAAGAAGGACCCAAATTAACCATACAACTTAAGACACCTCCTGAGAAAGCGCAAAAAAGAAAATAAAAACAAAAACTCTTAAAGACATACCTTTGTGGGTAGTAGTAACTGTAGAGGTCTCTTTCTTAAGAACGAAAGGCTCTTCATCTTCAAGTTCTTCGTCCTGGGAGCTGCACTTGGCGGACTTTATCATCTCCATGAAGCTCCGGCTCCTATGCCCTGATGGCCTGCGGATCAAAATTGACGTAAGATTTTTACTATAACAAGATTATGAAAAGTTGTAACAATAACAAGAGGAGGCAATTAGGAGGGAGAAATTAGACTGACTGAGATGAAGAGAGAGAACTGAAGCTGCCACGATGGTTGTTTGAAGATGATTGCGACGGACGTTCCGACGAAGCCCATTGTCCCACTCTCGCCGCAGGCTCTGTATAAGAAAATAACACAAATATATACTACTTTGAAACCTCGTCTATATGTGTGTGTACAACACCATCTTTTCCAATATCACGTTTAAGGACAGAAAACAAACTCAATCAGTTCATTTTCCTATTATTTTTCCCTTTACCATAAATGGAACAGTTCATATCAAACAGAAGTACAAAGCTTTGGATTGAACTGGGAAACCGGACAAAGATTGAACTGGGCTAACATGGCCCAGACGCCTGGCCCTTTGTGATATTTGGATTTGGATCGAGGGTGGTTTTCTCACTTTTTACCAAGTTATCTTATATATATAGAGTCATTTGATCATGCATGAGCGATTAAAAATGAAAAAAAAGGCACTGTACATTCATTTAATTAAGATCTTACCTAAAACGCTGGCCTTTTCTGCCATATTCTCCTTCCCTGTCTTTCCCTTTTTGACAGCAGATTCTTCCCATAAAGTGAATCCACTTCCGGTATAAGAACTGCAGTTTGAGTTTTCGTCATTTCGGTCAGTACTACTCGCTTGAGCGGCTGTGAATACCATCCCCTCTGGCTTTGGAACTCTTTGATTGAAGTAATTAGAAATGTGGCTTATGCTATAAGTCCCAATACCGCCAGGGAGAACGTGTTCCACAGGAGGCGGTGCCGGAGGTGGCGGCTTTTCGGAAGTCGATATCTCGACCGAGGTTTCTTCCTTAGCGCAGGTCTTCCCTACTCGTTCAAGTGGTTGTAGGAAATCGTGAGTTTTTAGATACCCTCCTGCTAGACGCATGAGGAAGAATTAAAACCAAATAATCATCACACATGGACACTTGGTTGATATTTCCCAAACTTGGCTGCCTTATCAGAGCATAATTTTAAAGCATGGTTGATTAAAATATATTCATCAGGAAAGAAAATCAACTATGCAGAAGCTCAAGAAGTCTCCTCAGGCCCAGAAAAGATGTAATGTTATCCTTATTAGTGATATAAACGACTGATATTGTGGCCTAAAGGATTTAAGACGATAAGAAGATCATAGACCTATGCATGGTGTAATAAAAGGGCATACTATGAATAATTGATGTGAAGAAAAAACAAATTGAAAGATAGACGAAGTAAATTGTTGAACGGTTAAAAGGAGGAGTTGATGTTATAAGACGTTCTGTACCTAAAACTTTAGTGATGAATTTGGTGGAAACTCGATGTGCATACGGTTCGGGAAATACAATATTTTTTTTTATGAAATTTACAAAATAGATGGAGTTATCTTAATTAATTCATTAATCCATCAAAAAATTCATGAATTGGTAAATTTGACGAGAAAGTATATATGGTCAAACCTTGTTCGTTTTACTTGTTCTTTGCACAACTTAAACTACAACTCATGTTTTTTTGCTACAGTATCTTCTCTCACAAAAAGTTAAATTTAAATTTTTTACTATAATGTTTTCACTCTCATAAAATATTTGAGTTGTGACTTAAGTTGCGAAAAGAATAGAATTTTTCATTTCCAAGATTCCCACACTTCGTTAATCAGTGAAAAAACAGGATGTTCATTGCAATATGAAATATTAGACAAAAATATATCCAAAGTACGAATAAAATGAGATATAACCCAAAAAAAAACTTTTCTCTAAAAAAAACATTGATGAGTTGCATGAATTAATGATCTCTTTTTTAAAAAAAAAAAACATATATAGATAAAAGCTATACAAAGGGGAACAAAATAAAACATATAATAGTGGTGAATATTTTTTATCCGACAATTTTTATGGAGTTTCGTCGAATTTACACTATTTTTATAATTTATTTTCTTATAAGTATATAATACAATACAATGTGATATTAAGAAAACGCATCATGCACCAACAATGAACATATTTCCTCTTACATTATCAAAATAACCGTTTACATAAATTTTCCATATATAAGCACATGCTATACAGATATACATATACATATATCAAATTATATATATATATATATATATAGACACACACACACACACTCATTAGTCATCAGCTTTTCCTGTTCATTTTTCACGCAGTGTTTTCAGTTAGTACTAAAAGGCCCACGCTTGATTGAGGGTGAAGTGAAAAAGAAGGGCGTGCCTTCTTGAAAAGAGGATGGCATTGTAGTTGCAGAATACAGAATACCATGCACCTGCAGGGGTCAGTATATGTGCGAAACGTCAAATCATAACCCCTAACTCAGTCTTTTGTGGGTCCCATCCAAAACCCACCCATTCATGGCAATCTGATGGTGCTAATTGCTAACTGCTAGCCATTTCCTTTTTGGATTTGGCTGCCCATTTATGGCCTCCTGGCCCAGATCCATGATTCATTTCCCACTCACGTGCATTCCCTTCCCTTAGCTTATCGTAAATAAATTATAAACCCACCATAATAATAATAATCACATAATTTCTTTTCCCATTTTTTTCTCTTCCTCTAATATAAAAATAAATAATACTTGGCTAAATCACAAAAGTAGCCAAACCAAAATAAGAATAAGCATAAACAAAATTAAATTTTGGGATCTTGAATTAAAAAATATGTAAAAATGATGAAGAGGGAATACCTTGAGAAGGTGGTCTTGGATCTTGTTGTGTAGTTGAATGACTATACAGTGACAGAAAGTCATGCGTTGGTTTTCTTCCTGTGAAAAAACTTTGAAAATCAAAAGTTGGCAAAAAAGGAAAAAAAAAAAAAAAAACATAGAAACAAATAGTTTTCTATGTTTTTCACACATGAACAGCAACGAATATAGGAATTGAAGAGAAAAAAAACATGGGACACATTTTTTAACATATATAAGAAAAGAAATAAAAAAAATATATGTTTCCGCAAAATACCTTCTGTTCCGTAGGGGCGAGGTTGAGAAAGCTCCATCCACAGTTAGACGCTATCGTTTTCCCAATTTTGTAATTTTTTTCCCTTTGAGGAAAAGAAAATTCTTCAAAAGAATTATGAAAAAAAAAAGTCTTTCCGGATTCTGTGAGAATTCAAAGACGAGGCTTTAGATCCGTTTGGTACATCAGAAGAAACTTCCGGAAGAAGATCGGGGGCGCATTCTACTTTTTCTCTCTCTTTCTCTTTCTAGTTAAGGATTTTCTCGCGAGCCAAACAAAAGCTCCGAATCAGGATTCGAAACCGAATAGCTGAATTAAGCAGTCTCAGAAACTCCAAAAGCAGATTTTCCTCGAATTCTTCTCGACAGAATTAATTCTTTCGCTGATATCCGGACAAAATCCTTCTTTTTCACCAACAATTCAGCAAATCCACAACTGAATTATCACAAAAAAAAAAAAAGTTAGAATTCTACTGTTCAACAAGATTTCAAGACACGAGATCCGAAACAGAAGTTCAAATCTCGAATTTCGACACAGAAGAAAGAATTAATTAAAATTACCTTCTGATATGAAGAACGGAGATTTTGCGAGCTTCGCAAATTACTGAACTTGAATTCCGCAGTTGAAAGCGCTTTGGATTCCGAATTCAGAGCTTTCCAAAGACGGCAGCTATTTCCAGTAATGCTCCAAATGAGTCAGAAGAAGCTCATCCAAATTCGAACCATAAATTTTCTCGTTCTTTCTGTATTCTTTTTCTCAGGAAACAAGCAGTGCGGCGACAGTCGGGCCTTCAGGTCGGGCTTTCTCTCTCCTCTCTTTCTGCTCTGTTTCTCTCTCTGTGCGTGAGTTCTTCGGTTGAATGTATATATATATTTATAATACATATATATAATCTCTTTTATACAGTTCTCTTTCTTCTTGGCTTTGGCTTTCTGTTATTTTTATGCTTTTTTCGAAATCGTTATTTATCGTTAGGTGGTAAAGAGATGCCGTTTCCGTTTACTTAACGGCGTTGCAGCGGATCCGACGGCGTTATGGAGGACGCCGTTTGGTCCAGAACTGAACTGGGTAAGGTAAAGGGCATTGTTCTTGTACTTCACGGAACTCAATGATTCACTCGTCTTTTTTTTTTTTTAATAAAATTATAATGTCTTCGGCAATCCCGATTTATATTTTTTAGGATTTGGCAATCCCGATTAATAATTTTCTTTACTTTTCTGCCACTGTTCTAGTCTGTCCTTTTGCCCACCAAAGAGAAGGTTCTTTCTAGGAATAAATAAATAAATTTAGGCCCGCTGATTCGAGTTTAGAATTTAAGTTTTGTTACAGTAAAAAGCTCTCACAAATAATCACATCTAACTTTTTTCTACAGTAAAAAGCTCTCACATAAAATCACATCTCAACTCGAATTAAAAACTCGAATCAGCGAACTAAACGGACCCTTAGGGAGTTCTTCTCATGCTTATCAACAATGTTAATTTTTAATTATTAAATTACGTTAAAATTATATTAAATTAAAAAATATATAAGTACTTTTAATACAAATTTAACAGTTAAAAATACATAATTATTAATAGTTCATTTTTTTAGTCTTATTATAAAAGCTCTCATAAATTTAAAAGTTTCTCAACTTCA